ACAGCAGACACGTCACTTGACACGCCACTCAGGGTGTGTTTAATACGGGGTCTAGAGCCAGAACAGACACGTCACTTGACGCACCACTCAGGGTGTGTTTAATACGGGGTCTACAGCCAGGAAGACACGTCACTTGACATACCACAGGGTGTGTTTAATACGGGGTCTAGAAGACAGGCACTTGCAGCCTTACGCAGCCAGCACGCAACACTCCCAACCAGTATAGGGGAGACTCTGCCCAGATACTCAGGGCAACCACCATCCGAGACTTCCGCATAGGTCTCAGTACACCACAATCACCCGCACACCACCACACAAGCAGTTATTCAAGGATCATAGCCCGCCCGGCTTAGTCACGAACTCGGCGAAGCCACTGTTGGAAAAGCAGGAAACCCCACACGCTTTGCGGCAGCATCAGGGAATCAACATCGCCCAACCCCTCACCCCTTTTCACCTATCAATCATCCAATTCCCGGATAGCCTACGACAGCGTCTAGAGATGGGATCTGCGTGGGACGTCCTGCCGGGATGGTGAAGTCCAGGCGGTAGCCATACAGGACTTCGAACGGAGTTTGTCCATGAGCTGTCTGTACCCGAGAGTTGAGCACAAACTCCGCCGTGGGGAGAAGGTCCGCCCAGTCGTCCTGTCGCTTGTCGCAGTAGATCCGAAGGTACTGTTCTACCTCCTGATTGGCTCGCTCCGTCTGTCCGTTTGCCATGGGGTGATACGCCGTGGTGAGACCGCTTTCGATACCAAGGCGCTTGTACAGGGCCCTAGTGACACGGGCGGCAAACTGGGGTCCCCTATCCCACACGATTTTCTGGGGAATGCCGTGAAGCCGGAAGATGGTCTGATAGTGCAGTTCGCCTATCCCCTCGGCGGTGACGGTGTCGGTGGTGGCTACCAGGTGGACCTGCTTACTGTAAAGGTCGACGTATGTGGCGATGGCGTTGTACCCTTTTGACGAGGGCAGTCCGGTAATCAGATCTACTCCCATGACTACCCAAGGGCCTTCAGGTACCTCGTGCGGTTGAAGTGTAGCCCGGGGGTGCGCGGCCGCCTTGTAGCGTTGGCATTTGTCGCAACCCAGGACGTACTTCTCGACAAACCCGCTGATCCCCGGCCACCAGTACAGCCGTGTGACTAGTTCGACCGTCCCATGCTTTCCTGGGTGTCCTGCCGTTGGCGCATCGTGGCACTGCCGGACGATGGCCTCCCGTAATCCTTCCTCGGGCAGGATGTACAACCGTCCACGGTAGTACACCAGCCCTCCCTCCTCTTCCCATTCCCACGTCCCATCCGTCAACCTTCGCGGCCCGTCCTCCCGAAGGGCTTCCAAACCCTTGAGGACTTCCGCCTCCCGCCTGCTACTCTCCCTGATCCGTTCCTCCAGCGGGTTAACCGCGCGTAGTGCTGACGCCGCGATGGTGGCAAAGCGTTCGGGCCGAAGGACAATCTGATCCTGATTGTCCTCGGCGTCGGTGACTTGAAACTCCGAGATGCGTGAGAGGGGGTCGGCCTGGGTATTGGCAGTTCCCGGCTTATGTGTGAGTCGGAAATCAAAGCGTGACAGCCAAAGAGCCCAGCGTGCCTGTCTCCGGGTGAGGTTCTGGGTGGTGCGCCAGTATTCAAGGTTGCGGTGATCGGTGATGATCTCGAAGGGTTCGGGCAGCCCCTCGAGGAAGTGCCGCCAGTCCTCCAGTCCTCTCACGATGGCCAGCAGTTCTCGGTCGTAGATCTCGTAGTTTCGCTCAGCCTCCGTCATGGATTCCGACCGGAATGCGACTGGGTGCCAGAGTCCGTCCTCGAGCTTCTGCAGAAGGACCCCTCCGGTGGCGTACCCCGAGGCGTCTACCTCGACTCGCGTAGGGCGGTCTGGTTCCCAGGTCACCAGCACCGGCTCCGTGGTGAAGGCTTCTTTGAGGGTGTCAAACGCCGTTCGCTGCCGCAGTCCCCATTCCCAGGCGACGTCCTTCTTGGTGAGGTCGTGGAGCGGTCGTGTGATCTTAGCGAAGTCCTTGATGAAGCGACGGTAGAAGTTGGCAAACCCGATGAATCCGCGGACCTCCCGTAGGTTCCGTGGGGTCGGCCAATCGCGTACGGCCTGGACTTTGATGGGGTCCATGCTGACTTCGCCCTGTCGGATCACCAAGCCCAGGTACTCGATCTCGGTCTGCTCAAATTCGCACTTTTCGGGTCGTAGGAACAGGTCGTGTTCCTGGAGCCGACGCAGTACTTTGTGTGTGACCCTGCGGTGCTCTTCCCGCGTGTCACTGAAGATGAGGATGTCGTCCAGGTACACTGCTACCTTCCCAGCGGCTATCAGGTCACCGAAGATGGAGTTCATCAGTGCTTGGAAGGTGGCCGGGGAGTTGGTGAGACCGAAGAACATGACCCGTGGTTCAAACAGACCCCTATTGGTCGTGAAAGCTGCTTTCCACTCATCGCCTTCCTTGATCCGGATGTTGTTGTAGCCCCAACGAACATCGAATTTGGTGAAGTACTTAGATTGGTGAAGGCGATTGATGATGTCGGATGCGAGGGGGAGTGGGTACCGGTTTTTGACGGTGATGTCATTCAGCTTTCGGTAGTCTTGGACCATGCGGAGTTTCCCGTCCTTCTTTTTGACAAAGAAGACCGGTGAAGCCATGGGGGACTTAGAGGGGACGATGTAGCCCTTGCGAAGGTTCTCATCGAGGAAGGCGTCGAGCTCGGCTTGCTCGTTTACCGGCATCGGGTACACTTTGGAGCGGATAGTCTCGGGGGCGTCGGGCTTTAGATCGATGGTATGATCATATGGCTTATGCTCGGGTAGACGCTCCGAATCCGGTTCTGAAAACACCTTGGCATACTGCCGATATTCCTCGGGAACCATTTCGTCGAAGGTCTTCTTCGGCTTGGCCTGATGCGCTTCGGCGGCGAGCTCGGTGGAGTACGTGAACCCGGCGGCACACCAGAGTTCCTCCGTGGCTTCCTCAAGCACACCGTGCTTTTGCCAATGCCGACGAAGGCGTCTGTTGGCTGCGATTTTCTCAAACGGGGGGAGATCTTTCTCGGGGACCACCGACCGGTCCTCCGTATCGACCTCGACCCTGCCGTTCGT